AAACATATGATTGAATGCATTAGTGATGAGCCGACCACTGGTTTGGACTCATTTATGGCCAAAAGTATAGTACAAGTGCTGAAGACTATGGCATCGGAGGGACGGACTGTCATCTGTACTATACATCAGCCCTCGTCTCAAGTGTTTGAACTCTTCGACCGTTTGTTACTTATGGCCGACGGAAGGGTAGCCTTCATGGGGTCCATCGGTATTCATATTTTATATAAATTTATAATTTTATTATAAATGTATAATAATTTCATTGCATTTATAGGTGAAGCAAAAGATTTCTTTTCATCGCAAGGATTAGTAATATTGATATTATAATTATAATTATATTTATTAAATTCAAAATAAAATTTAAATTTCTTCAATAGGTTTGTCCCAAAACCTACAATCCATCGGATTATTATTTACGGGAATTGGGTTTGTTTTACTCATATGCCTAATAGATTTCAATCACTTTATATCATTTATCCCAAAATAGCAATAATGGATAGAAATTATGCGCAAACTAAATCCAAAGTCAATGTAATATTTTAAAATGCATTCAACCAGTTATTTATATTTATATTTATATTGTCTTTATATATATATAGGAAATATGCGACAATTTTCTCGAAAGGAGTGTAAATACAGTTAACTCTGGCTATAATGTGGATAAAATGTCTGCATTAAACACGGCAACACTGGGATCGGGCTATAGGGCTGGTTATTGGCGACAACTGGATACTTTATTATGGCGATCATATATTGTTTTCATACGAAATCCCAGTTTGATACGAAGTCGATTAATCCAAATGGTGGTATGTCATTGTCATTGATAATTATTTATAATATAAATAATTAGCTCACAATTATGCAAATGTGTTTTTTCCATAGTGTTTGACAGTAGTATTTGGGGTACTCTACTACGGACAGGGATATGACTACTCCAACGTCGATAATATCAATGGGGCTCTTAATATGATATTACTGGAATATTCACTTGCTCAATCAACGGTCGCACTCACTGTATGCATCATTGTTTCATTTTAAACTTATTATTATTATAAATAACAATTATTGTTTATTATTTTCTTAATAACATTTTTGACCATTTGATTCTTGCATTTAAATTGGAAAATAGTGTTTTATATTTGCAAAATAGTACATTGCTAATTTCTTAGAAATATATATCTGACCAACCAAAATGAGATGAGTCTCTGAAAAAATGATTTTATTTCTTCTTTAAATATTGCTTTCGTGTAAAGTGTGAAATACTATGTATAAACTGATTGCTTTCAAACTTTACACGAAAGCAATATTTAAAGAAGAAATAAAATCATTTTTTCAGAGACTCATCTCATTTTGGTTGGTCAGATATGAAAATTTTAAAAACTATTTAAATGTTATGAATGTATACATAATTTAATATTATATTATAGACATTAATAGGGGAAGAAGCTTTACTTTGTAGGGAACACCACAACCGTATGTACGCTATACTGCCATATATATTGGGGACCATTACTACACAGGTAACGTGTTTAAAACAGCTTAACCAGTAAAATATGAGTTTAATAAGTGGCATATCTTTTAAATTTACAATTATTTTACAAAATAGTACAGCTACCATGGTTTTCTGTACACTGTACTGTACACTATTGTGAAAATATACTTAAATATGCATATTAATAGAAAAAATATATGAATACTATAAAACCAAACACTATTAGGTTCTACTGTATAATAAGATTTTTGTTTAATATCATATAAATTAAATTATGAGTCACTCGCTGCAGAAGTATGTTCTTTGAGATACTGTACAGCAGAGGCGCACAAATATGACCGTTTGCGGTCAATTAGTGATGAATCCATTTAACAGTTTAATACAATATTTACAACACTAGTATTTTATGAATCATGAATTAGACATTAATATCTATATTAACTTTTCAAATTTATATTAATTTTATTACTCATAACTTGTGATTAAATTATTTGTCAATGTTTTTACTTTATTTCCTAAATAAAGAGATTAATAAATTTTAGAAATATTTAATATTATTTTGATGTCTAATAAATATTCATACTATTAATTAAAATGAAAATTGTTTCCAACAAAATATCTCAGTCACTTATAATTCATTAAATTCTAGTGTTGTGAATAGTTAATAAGTTTACTAATATTGTAAAACACTATTTTGAACATTTTTAAATTTTTGTACGTCTATGCTGTACAGTGTTTTATGTTAAAGCAATAGTCTATTGCCAATTATAGTGTTAATCAGAGGCATACTTTTGCGAGTAACGCATATCATATATTTACTGAACAGTTAGCTATAAATGCAATACTGACTATTATCTTTGAGACGATTTTGTATTTCATCATTGGTTTATATTCGAGTACACAAGCATTTTTCATTTACCTTGGTGTTATTATCTTGACCACAATTTGTGCCTGGAATTTTGGTAATAAATCATTATTATTAATGTCTGTATATTTAAGAAAATTAAATTCTATTTGATCTATAAAGTGGACAATATCTATGGGGTTAAATATTGTATAGACTTAAATATTAATAAATAATTAATAGCTAGTTTCATTAGCAGAGCTACGATTTGTNTTATTATTAATGTCTGTATATTTAAGAAAATTAAATTCTATTTGATCTATAAAGTGGACAATATCTATGGGGTTAAATATTGTATAGACTTAAATATTAATAAATAATTAATAGCTAGTTTCATTAGCAGAGCTACGATTTGTAGGACTTTGTAGAAGTTTTACACGCAAAAAAGATTTTACAATAAAACAGAATTAGAGAATAGAAAATTAAAAATTATAAAAATAGATAAATATACTGATAATTTAATAGCGATACACTACTTAACTTAATTCTTGACTGGATTAACTTAAGTGTGTACTGGATTAACTTAATTGTGCACTGGATTAACTTAATTCTGCACTGGATTAACTTAATTCTGCACTAAATTAACGTAATTATGTTCTGAATTAATTTAATTATGCACTAAATTAACTTAATTGTGCACTGGATTAACTTAATTCTGCACTGGATTAACTTAATTATGCACTAAATTAACTTAATTGTGCACTGGATTAACTTAATAATGAACTGGATTAACTTAATCAATTAATTTATTTAGAGAATTAAGGTAATTTAGTTCAGAATTTAGATATAGTTATTTTAAATCATGACTAAATCATTTTAATAAGAAATTTTATTAATTTCGTACAGAATTAATTTAATCCAGTTACTAATAACGTTAATCCAGTACACACTTAAGTTAATCAATTTCATAATTACGTTAATTTAATGCATAATTGAGTTAATTCAGTTCATAATTAAGTTAATCCAGTGCACAATTAAGTTAATCCAGTCAAGAATTAAGTTAAGTAGTGTATAGCTATTAAATTATTAGTATATTTATCTATTTTTATAATTTTTAATTTTCTATTCTCTAATTCTGTTTTATTGTAAAATCTTTTTTGCGTGTAAAACTTCTACAAAGTCCTACAAATCGTAGCTCTGAAGTAATCAGTACAATATTTTAAATTACATTTGATAAAAAATATAAAAATTAAAATTTTATATATTAAGAATTCTTTAGGATTTCATTTTAAAGAATAAACTTATTCTAACGAATTTATTATTATTATAATTAATTATTTCATTAAAAATAAATATAGGATTATTAATATCTACACTAATGCGGGACATTATGTTAGCGACTGTAATAATGGTATCACTTTTGACACCATTGAGTGTATTGGGAGGATATTTCTTCAACATCGGGTAATTTATTTATTTTATACCATTAATTGGGTCATAAATATTATTTCATGATCAATTATTTAGCACAATACCAGGGTGGTTAGATTGGTTGCAGTACTTGTCATTTTTATATTACGGATACCAATCATTGGTTGTAAACGAGTGGCGAAATGTGGGAAACATGTCGTCCGACACCACAAACACCACTCAATCGACGACTACTTATACCTCTGGAGTAGAAGTCATTGAATCCATGAATATTACGGATACCAATCATTGGTTGTAAACGAGTGGCGAAATGTGGGAAACATGTCGTCCAACACCACAAACACCACTCAATCGACGACTACTTATACCTCTGGAGTAGAAGTCATTGAATCCATGGGTTTCCATGAGTCGGGTCTCCAGTGGTGTCCCATAGCCCTCATGGCCTGGACTTTGGTTTATATGTGTATCGCATATATCGGCTTATGTCGGAAAGTCAGACACCAGTGAATGACTCATAATTATTATTAAATTTTATTTTAAACTAATAAATTCAAACATTTAGAAACTTTTATGATAATCAATAAGCAATGTTAAACGGATATAATTTTTAATGTGAAACAAATGTAATTTTAAATATTAAGTTATATTCCAATGAATAAAGTAATTTCAGTGTTTTATAGTATATAATATTAATTTTCTGTTTACAAATTAATATGGTTATAAAGCTTTTGACAAAAGGTGCGTAGTTTTTTATTTAGCATTAATAATCGTAGAATGGAGCTAGAACAAAATTAAAAAATTTGCAACTATTGTTTTTTGGCACCAATCCAACGGTATGCCTAATTTTACCAGGACTTAAGGGGAATTGTAGATATGCCGGTCAAATAATTTCAAATTTATTAAGCTCAGAACCGACTCAATGGATCGGGGTGATGTCAAATTTGTCCGATTTGTCTTTCAAAATACAAAATATTATCTGCTTGCACCAATATTGTATATGGTACACAGAATATTCTGGTTTAGAAATAAATTTTATTTATGTATTCATTTTTTACCTGTTTTATTGTTTTACACCTTTACCTGTATTTTAGAAATACATAAATAAAATTTATTTCTAATCTAAAATATTCTGCATACCATATGTGATAGGTATATTCAATATAAATACCTCAATTTAGTTTGAAAACTTAGTAATGTAAAGCAAAAGCTTTAAATTAGCATCTTACGCATACAAAATATATGAGTAAGATGCTAATTTAAAGCTTTTGCTTTACATTACTAAGTTTTCAAACTAACCTGAGGTATTTATATTGAATATACCTATCACATATACAGTATTGGTCAAGCAGATAATGATATTATCTAGTATTAAATTTTATTTAGTATTTTGAAAGACAAATCAAACAAAGTTGAGATAAGTTAATGTTTAAAATAGAAATTTTATAAAATCTTATGTCTAGACTAAAAAATATTGTCATGAAAGTCATGAGAATAGAAAAAGTGTCAAGCACAGATGACTTTCAGATTATACAAGGTGGTTTTAGATTTTAATTGTTTCTGTTGCAGGTTTATGCATTTTTTATATGATCGTCGAAATATAATATATTAAGATAAGTAATTTTTTAAAATCTATAGAAAAATTAAATATTTAGCCAAAATATTTTTAAAAGTGCTTGTCACCTTGTCACTTATATGAAATAATATTCTTGGCATGTTATATATGAAACAAACCCCTAACTATTCTTGTACAATCCAGTAAAATAATAATTCAAAAATATAACACTTTTATTCATATATACAGTATAAAATTCTCGCCAAAACTCTTTACACTAGATTATTTAAATTAAATATATGTTAGGAT